TCCTCTTGCTCCTGCTACCTTCAGGGCTTTACCCTTCAGTATCTTGTTTTGCTTTACAGAAATACTGCAAGTAAAAGGAAAACTAGAGCTATGGTGGTACCTGGTGATCATTTATCCATGTCTCAGTGTAGTAAGCAAGATAGGCTGGAGAGATGGGCTGAGCAGAATCAACTGAAATTCAACAAGGGTAAGTGCAGGGTCCTGCACAAGGGGAGGAATAACCCCAAGTACTAGTACAGGCTGGACACTGACCTGCTGGAGAGCAACTCTGTGGAGAAGGACCTGGGGGTCCTGGTCGACATCAAGCTGTTCATGAGTCAGCAGTATGGCCTTGTGGCCAAGAAGGCCAATGGAATCCTGGGATGTATGAAGACAAGTATTGCCAGCAGTGGAGGGAGGTCATCCTGGCTCTCTACCCAGCCCTTGTGAGGCCTAACCTGGAGTATTTTGTCCAGTTCTGGGCTCCTCAGTACAAGAGGGACATGGAGATCCTCAAGCAGGTCCAGTGGAGGGCAATGAAGATGATTAAGGGTCTGGAGTACCTCACTTACAAGGAAAGGCTGAAGGAGTTGGGCCTTTCCAGTCTCAAGAAGAGACAACTGAGAGGGGATGTCATCAATGTATACAAGTACATGAACAGGAAATGCCAAGAGGTTGGAGCCAGGCTCATCTCAGTGGTGCAAATCAATAAAACAAGAGATAATGGGTAAAAACTAATGCACAGGAAGTTCCACCTAAATACGAAGAACTTCTTTACAGTGAAACTCACTGAGCACTGGAACAGATCGCCAAGAGAAGTCTTGGATTCTCCCTCTCTGGAGGTATTAAAGAACCATCTGGATGCAATCCTCAGCCATGTGCTTCAGGATGGCCCTGCTTGAGTAGGGAAATTGGACCAGACGGGCCATTGTGGTCCCTTCCAACCTAACTGATTCTGTGATTCTGTAATCCTCTACCGCTATGCAGCAATTCAGTGAGAGGCAATTTGTCTTTCAGGAAAAGACAGAAACCTGTCCACTTGCATGAAAGCCAAATATGCCACTTCTAATGATTCCATGCTGTGTCTCAGTTTCATTAAGAGTCATACAAACATAGAATGTCAAGCATTGGGAGGGACCTTAAAGATCATGTAGTCCCACCCCCCACCCCACCCTGCCCTGCCATGGGCTGGGACACCTACCACTAGACCAGGCTGCTTAAGGCTTTATCCAATCTGCCCTTGAATTCTGTCAGGGTTGGAGCACCCACAACCTCCCTGAATGACCTGTTCCAGTATCTCACCACTCCCACAGTAAATAATTTCTTCCTAATATCTGACCTAAATTTCCCATCTTTCAATTTATGCCCAGTACTCTTTGTCCTATCACAAAGGTTCCTGACTAAGAGTCCCTCTTCAGCTTCCCTATAGGCCCCTTCAGATACTGGACGGTTGCTATGAGGTCTCCATGAAACCTTGTCTTCTCCAGGCTGAACAGCCCCAACTTACTCAGCCTGTCTTTATAGGGAAGGTGCTCCTGTCCTCTTATCAGCTTTGTGGCCTCCTCTGGACTTGCTCCAACAGTTCCATGTGCCTCCTATGTTTGGGGCCCAAAACCATACACAGTACTCCAGGTGGGGTCTCACAAGAGCAGAGAACCATGCAGGAAGCTTTCATCATACAGCAGGTGAAGTCAAACAAATTTTTGTTGTTCTATTTTTTTATTGGGAAAATGCTGCAAGGTTATTGTATTGCACTAGTGAGCACTAGGCTTCTGAAGATCACCACAAGACACTGTACTCCTGAATGCTGAGAAAAGTTCCTTATGTCCCCAAATGTCTTCTGAGAAATAAAACCAGGAGGCCAATCTTCCTGCCTTCTGTGCCCAATGTGAAGCACTCAGAGCACCGCAGGTTGTTCCAGCAGGGCTTCTCACACAAGGAGCATGGGGTGGCTGCCCAGCACACCCAGCAGTGCTGGTAGGACCCAGGTCTGTGGGTGATGGTGCCCCATTGAAGCACATGCACCTGGAAGCACAGCTCACCTCTCACAGCATCGAGGTGATAGATTTCTGAAGGGGAGCACACACATTTGCAGAAAGCTGTCCTTGGACACACAGAGTGTGGAGCCAGTGGAGAAGGCTATTTCTTACCCTTTGGCCACTTCTGTCAGGGATAGCAAAAAGTGTTTCTATAAATACATCAACAGCAAAAAGAAGGGCAAAGAAAACCTTCATTCCTTGTTGGACATGGGAGGGAACTGAGTGACCCAAGATGAGGAAAAGGCTGAGGTACTTAACACCTTCTTTGCCTCAGTTTTTAATAGTAGGACAGGTTGTCCTCAGCACAAATGGCCTCTAGAGCTGATAGACAGACATAGGCAGCCAAACAGCCCCCATGAAATACGAGACGAAATGATTAGAGATTTGCTTAGCCGCTTGGGTCCTCACAAATCTATGGGACCGGATGGGATCCATCCCAAAGTGATGAGGGAGCTGGTGGAAGAGTTCCCCAAGCCTCTCGCCATTATTTACCAACAGTCCTGGCTCACTGGGGCGGG